CAGTTTAAAGCCCTTCTGATCAAATTCTTGAGACCGCTGGCAAAAACAGTTCTTCCAACTGGTGTGAGATGTAACCTATCCCTTGCCAGGAGTCCGCCCTCATGGAACCGCAGCCCATGATCCAAGAATCCAAATCGTTCTCGACGACACCATCTGCGGAGCCAATTGTTGACATCTGCTATCTTCCTCTCTCTTCCTGGACCATGCCCTTGAACTGGCAGAAGAGACGAGATGACAATCTGTGCCTCCATTTCTTTCAGCTTCTTTCCTAGAGCCTCGTAATCCCTTTTGATGTTCTGAAGGCTGTGTCTTGCTGTGTTGTTCGTTCCCACGTGGACCAAAAGGAAGAGGTATTGGTCGGTAGGCCTGACCAGTCTTGTCAGCCTCTCTGTCACATCTCTGATCTTTGCACCAGGATTAGGGTTGCCGTAAGTCAGAAACGACTTGAAGATATACTCAAAGTAACCAAATGTCCTCCTCACTGCAAAGGAGGACAAGGCATCTCAAAATAGAGGACATTCAAGAAAAATGGAGGGTATTACCACAGTAAAAGCTGGACAACCACTTAATATAAAAGTAAATCCATGCTTCTTACTCCTGCTCCAAATGGAACACATTTTGGAATTCCTCCTGAACAGAAGGCTGAAATGGAGGACATGACCAAATAAAAGCCAAAAATACTCAGAGAAATATAATTTCATGCTTCTTAGTCATGATCAAAATGGAGGACACTTTGGAATGCTGGACAGAAGGCTAAAATGAAGGGCAGGTCTGGGAAAAGGAGAACCAAGACTAGGCACGCTAGGCATACAACAACAACAACAACAATGCCAACACACAACAACATTCTGCAAATCCTTGGCGATCAAACTGAGAGGGTCCTCTCCTGGAAGTGTGCTGTTGTTAATTACCCTCAGCTGATCTTGACCCATGGCGACCCTGTGGATGAGACATCTCCAAGACCCCCTATCCTTCACTGCTCTGCTTAAGTCCTGCAAACCCATACCTGTGGCCTCCGTAATAGAGTCCATCTACCTAGCATGCAGCCTTCCTCTCTTTCTGATTCCTTCCATGTTTCCTAGCATTATTGCCTTTTCTAATGCCTTCTGGAGCGTGTCCAGAGGAGGGTGACCAAAATGGTAAAGGGTCTGGAAACCATGCCCTATGAGGAACGACTTGGGGAACTGGAGCCTGCAGAAAAGACGGTTAAGAGGTAATATGATCACCCTGTTAAGTATTTGAAGGGATGTCATATGGAGGATGGAGCAAGCTTGTTTTCTGCAGCTCCGGAGAATAAGATATGGAACAATGGATTCAAAGCACAGGAAAAGAGATTCCACCTAAACATTAGGAAGAACTTCCTGACAGTAAGAACTGTTTGACAGTGGGATATGCTGCCTCAGAGTGGTGGAGTCTCCTTTGGAGGTTTTTAAACAGAGGCTGGATGGCCATCTCTCGGGGATGCTTTGATTGAGAGTTCCTGCATGGCAGAATGGGGTTGGTCTGGATGACCCTTGGGGTATCTCCCAGCTCTATGATTCTATGATTCTCACAACAAGACAGCCTCAATGAAATCCTCTTGGCTTCCAGGGAGATTTCAGGCTTGATCTGCTCTAGGACTCATTTGTTTGTCTTTTTGGCCGTCCACAGCTAAGCAGAGCAGTGGAGAACAGGGAGCCTTGGAGATGTCTCAGCCACAGGGCCGCCATGAGTTGGAACCGACTCGAGGACAGTTAACAACAGCAGACAAAAACAGCATCCTCAGCACTCTTCTCCAGCGCCACATTATCTCAAATGTATTGATTTTCTTCCTATTATCTTTCTTAACTGTCCAGCTCTCACATCCATACACGGTAATAATTGAGAATACAATGGCTTGTATGATTCTAACCTTTGTGCTTTTGTTGCATATTTTTGTATTGAATTGTATATCTTTGCATTTTAGGGTTTTTACTACTTTACAAAGGAGAAACTGCACAGACAGGCTCCTTGGCCGAAGGCTTGCAAGAGTGATACAAGGCGGGGGGGGGGGG